AGGTGGATGGTAATAGTGGTAACAAGAAGAATCCAGGTGGGGCTTTCCAGGACCTTACGGAGACTTAACAAATTTAAGCTGTCTCTCTAAGTATACCCAAGTTCTGCCCTTTGTGGATGGAGCTGGAGACTACCTGGCCCCAGAAGAGCTCTGCAAACACCCCAGGTAGGCAGGTGGGGCTTTGGGTCCTTGAAAGCAAGGGGGGGAAAGGGGCAAAAGAGAACTTTATGATGTCTCTTGTTTCAAAGAAGTCTCAACAGTGAGGTGTGTAAAGGAGAGGTGATAATGATCTGCAACAGAGTGTGATTTTGGTGTGGTCCTGCCTGCACAAGTCAGTACCAGTGTACAAGGAGCTGCAGAAAAGGAATCTGTCTCCTTTGCTTGCCTGGGTGTCTGCCCTGCAACTGCACTAAAGCATACCCAGGAAACTGATGTATTTCTGTGGCTCTGTTTCTCAAACTTATAGGGGTAATAAATTAAAAGGTAGGTTTTCTTTTACAGATTAGTCTCTCTGGGAAACAGTAACTCCCGAGTGAAAGACATTGTTCATGCTGTTGTTAACAGGCCTGGCAACCTGGGTTTCCTGCAAATCATAGGAAATGTGGGTCCTGGAGAACATATGCCCCGAATGTTGGGGGAAACAAGTGATAAATGCATTTTTTATGTAATCAACTGGGGTGGCTTTGCTTTTCTTGTTTTAATAATGTGGAAGTGAAATATGCTTGAGAAAAGGGAAATGCTCAGGGAGGTATGAGGAGATTTAGAAGGTCTCTTTCAGTCAGTACCTGTGCTCCTGCTTCAGTTAGGCACTCCTGGAAGATTTTAGAAGTACTGAGTTGCAAAGAGCTGTATGTGCTCCATCCTGGTTAGCACTGATAATCAGCTGATTTGCATGGATAGTGAACATTCACAGTCAGGTCCCATTCACATGAGAACAAGCAAGTAATTTCCATTGGCATTCAGCACTGTTTATTTGAGCCTCTAGTACGTGGAAGCAGCTGGGGCAAAATTCACCCCACTGACATAATGCTGGTAACACATTACTGTTCAGAGAAAGGTATTTTGGACTCTGTAGTGTACTGCTGCTCCAACAGCAGCTCTCGACCCAGAGCTTGGCCACAATTCGTTCTCAGGTCTCTGGAGTCTTTCTGAAAGCTGGTGCAGAGCACCGATGTGGTTCCTCTGTAAAAAGAAACCTCAGTTGCTAACTGCTGTAGCAAAGTTGCTTTGTTCCATTGTAAACTTACTGCACCAATGAACCCAGAAGTTCAAGGAGTTTTTACGCCGGTTTATACTACTGAGAGTGTATTCTGGGTAGGATGGACTGAGTAAACAAGGGAAAGAAGCTGAGAATTAAAAAAAAAAACAAAACAAAACAAAAAACAAATAGGATGGAAGTGGAACAGAGAGAACAGAGTGGAAAACAAACACAGAAGGACTGTGGAAAAAAAATAAGAATAAAGATGCACTGAAGGAAGATTTCTCATAAAAAATTAATAGGGTACATATACTTTATATAGAACACCATTCACTAAGACTCCTTTGGAGTGCAGTTTGGTCTTTTATATACACCATTGGCTTATCTTGCGCTGTAAGGACACTTGAGAGTAGAGGGTCTAGTGAAAGGGGTTTGACTGGCGGGAGGACTGATTGCAAACCTCTGCTTGCTGAATGCCAACACTGTTTTTGTATTCAAGTTTGATTGTCCTTACTCCACTGAAAAGGAGCCAACTTTGCTGAAAATCATCAAACACCATGGTCTGGAAGCAAAGGAAGAAAGCTGATCAGTGCAATGATGGAAGAACTCAGTTTAGGATTTCAAAATCAGGGGCTGCAAGCTTCCTTGAGCTATCTAAAGTGCAGGGAATTAAAAAAAAAAAAAAAATATATATATATATATACAGCCACAGTGACAAAAAAATAAAGAGGGTGAAAATGGGTGTAAGAAAGAAAGAGGCTGAATGAGCATTGAATCTGGGGGGGGAAAAAAAAAACAAAAAAAAAACAAAGACAGAGGGCTTGGACACTTTGGTCCTTGAGTTCTCTTCCTTGTTGTTGCCAGGAACCATACTTTCCAATCCTTTTAAAACATACATTAGGATTTGGGATTTGTGCTGAGATGAAGTTTTCAGGCTTGCCAGGACTTTCGAAATTTTGTCTCTTGAAGAGGAGGCAAAATGTGGGAACTGCTGAGGCTCAGTATGGAGTAACCTGAAAAGAGGGAAATGTGATGACTGAGGGGTGTCTGACAACGGATGATTTGTCTGTTGGGATGGGTTGGGTCCAACGAACCCACAGACTTTACCAACCACAGTTGGGTTCTCTTTGTGTGTGTTTGTTATGGAACAAAATCGTGTGTGCATACTCAGATATTGCCCCAGAAAAGACATTTGTGCAATTCTTTTGTGTTGTCAAAACACTGGGCAAGATCATTGCTGAAGCTGCTTGGGGACTTTTCAGAAGACAAGGTTTCTTTTGAGAAGGGCGGCTTGGATGCTGGCTGCGTTTCACAGGCTTCATTTACATGTGCTGAGGCTGCGCAGCTTCCAAGCTATAAGCCCATTGCAACTGCCCCCCTCTCTTCTGTTAGATGCAGTGTGCTCCAAAATAACGCAGAGACACATTATAACATCCAAAAAAATCTCCTAAGAAGTAAATTTATAATATGGCTCAAGTTGGACAGTTTGGTTAAAAATAAACAAATTCCTCTCAAGCAATGAGAACTCATGTTTAAACCTTGTGATCTTTTGTGATTTGAATCGTGCCTGGCATCCCTTCCAGGTGGCACTGGAACTGCCAGCAAAGTTCAGGCCGTGGCTGTAGGACGGCTCTGGAAGACATGGTGTTACTGCACAGTGCCCGCCCTGCACCCACAGAGCTCTCCATCCCCAACATGGTGCACTGAGAGCAGTGCTGAGCTTACTGTGTTTATATTTATCAGTTAACTTGCTAATTTGAAGGGAAAGCAGTGAAGTGGAAATGTAGAAAATAGAAACAACATGAGCAGGTCAAAATATCCAAAACAGCAATATAAAATGTTCCGGTGTAAATACATTTCTATAAAAGGTGTGAATGAAACTTCAAAAAAAAAAAAAAAAAAAGCAGATGATGGATTCGGCACAGTCAATGAACACAATTATAAGTAGGTATTGAAGGAGAATATTCCACCGACCATGGATCCACAGATAATAATTAATAAGAACCGAGTGCACTTGAGGCAGGCAGGTGCCCACGTTATTTCACAGCTGGCTGTTCAGGGGGTAGAGGTACTCACCTTTGCCCCAGATCTTAATAATTTTCTGCAGTTTTATCATTAAATCAGCATATAATTGGGAAGGAAATTAGGTTTTTTCGTCGTGAGAGCAAAGCAATACCGTTAATTTAATCACTCGTAGGAAAGGCTTTCTGTTGTCATTCGGTATTTTGCTGTGGCTTTTTTTAATTAAGTAAAGTAAAAACAATGCCATTTTTGTCATCTGCGCTTGGTGAAAATATGACAGTGTGATGTGATTTGCAACTTAAGCACAAGCAGGGAAAACCGTACGTTTTATCAGAACTGGCAATAATGAATTACAAGGGAACACAAATAAGCCGAGAATATATCTGAGACTTACAACAATTTCTGAAGTTTTTAATATCTGCTGGAAAAAGGCTATTTCAAGAGCTGTGCCGCTTTTTATTTATTTTTTCTCTCAGCAAAATCACCATAGCCTGCTATAATAATTGAATTCATTTAGCCTTTAGAATGCTCAAGTTTGCAAATAACAATGAAAATGAATATTTCATGACAAGGCGGATGATCAATTATAGTTTGGTGACTTTGACTGGTAGCCCAGCATGACGGATCCAGCACTTACATTTGTACAGGACTTTTGAACCCAGCTAATTAAAAAAAATACAACTTCGGAAAGCATGGAGGCAGGTGGGGCCGGTCAGACAAGGCTTTCGTGTGTTTTCTCCTGTTGTGGGAAACGTTTTGCAGTTACGTTTGGTACCTTGGCTTTGTTATGTGTCAGCAGTAGTGCCATCATAAACCAGTCACACCTGCAGCAGCCTCTGTTGTCTCCACGGGTGAGCTGCGAAGGGCTTAAACCCAGATCCTCTGCTGTTAATGTGTGCCTGCATGTCTGGGTTTTCACATGACAAGAGCTTTTCTTTTTTTCTTTTTTTTTCCCTCTTTGCAATGAGGAAAGACTTGGCTCAGGCCGCAGTACAGTGCTTGTAGGGAAATATAGCAGGAACCCATGCGGTCCTGGACAGGATGGGGCAGTTGCATGCTGGAGCACTGGGTTCCTGCACTGAGACACTGAAACGATTAAAGAGCAGCAGAGGAATGCCTCGTGTAGCTGGGTGTGGGATCGGGCTCCTTCTCTGTTGAAGGTGAGGCGACTGCAGGATTGGCTTTTATAGATACTTCCTCCATTCCTGGCAAATAGAATTTTATTTGTTTTTCATTTCTCTAAGGTGTTTGTTGGTGGCAAAACTGACTCTGCTTGCAGTTATCAATGAGAAATTAACTTTGTGAGGTGTAAAATCCCTGAGTGAATAAAATGTTAGAACTTTGTTCTAACATTGTTAACGCGTTGTAACTTTGGCCGAACTCCGGGGTGGCCTCTCCTGGCTGAGCTGTGCGGCGGCCGCGTGAGGCTGGAGGCTGCTTGGAGCACACGTGCTGCAGTCCGGCTCCTGTCACCTCACTTCTTCTTTAGCATTAATGCAGCTCTGTTCGTTGCTTGTTTTGGCAAAAGAAAAAAAAGAAAAAAAGAAAAAAAAAAGGAAAAAAGAGAAAGCGTTGAGAAAAGCCAGGCTGTGAGAGACGGGAGCTGTTGCATGGCAGGCAGTGCCCGATCTCAGGGGTGTGGCGTGGCAATGTGATTTTAATCACAGCGTGGTGCTGCTGGAGACTCAAAGGTCTGAGTGGCTTTTAAAAAGATTTACTTCGCTCAGCCTGGGTCTGCCTCTGAGCGACGTCACGGCTGGAGCGGCGGCACAAGAAGGCTGGATGAGTGACAGCCCAGCCTACTTTTTAATAGCTTTGTCATGTGACGGGGACCAGTAGTAAGACAGGTGCCTTCAGTTCACTCTCAGAAAGGGTCTCGTTGCTGCATGCGTGTGTGCTCCCTGCCCGGCTCTGGATTGCGCCTCACGAGTGGCACTGCTGCGGTTCGGGAGCTGGATGGCGTGGGACATGTGCAACCAGGACTCTGTATGGAGTGACATCGAGGTGAGCAGGGTGTGGGAGAGGGGCTGTGGGCACACTTTGCAAACAAGTCTGGATCTTATCTGAACTCCACTAAGTTTGCTATTTTAAGGTTACTCTGCGATGCCTTGAGCAAATCAAAGCTTAGCTCCTGTCATCGGTATCTCCTGCAGTTGGAAACTATTTTCATGTGCCTCTGGCTCGCTTTCCCCGTCATATGCAATATTTATGCTCTAAGATATTGATATGAATCAGTGTCTGAAGTCTTTTCAGTGGCATTCAGTGGCCTGGTTGGAAAAATGCCATGTTTGTTTAGAATAAGATCAATGTTTCTTTTTTCTACAAAAAGGAAAAAAAAAAAAAAGAAAAAGAAAAAGAAAAAAAAAGATGTAGTAATTAAAATTAACCAGTGGCTTCCTATTTTCCTTGCTTGTTTCACTCTGCTCTGTTGAAGGTTTCCACATTGTTTATCAGCTGCAGGATTCAAACCCCCACACGGGAATGAACACCCCGGTGTTTTGCTTTAGATGCTTTTAAAAGGGATTTCTGGAAGTAGCTGTTTTCCTGCTTCTCGTGGTGTTGGAATAATCACCCTGTAGCTGTGCCCTGTAGGGCAGGGCGCTCAGTCCGCACAAGCAGTCGAGCAAATGGTTAAATCCCACTGTACGGCAGAGACAACAGGATGAACCGTGAGAATAGAGTTTATGCAGGACTGTGTGAACTGCTGCTGCTGCTGCCGCCGCTGCCGCTTGTGTAAAAATAGACGGCAATACATCAAACCCACAGCTTCTGCTGGCTACAATTCATAAAGGGAAAAAAGAAAAGCAAAAAGCAAGCAGCTCCCTGGTAATCTCTGAAGGATGAAGTGAGGTGTGAGGATTTCTGCATGGTTGTGTTGGGCAGAACGGAGCCTTACCTGGAAGTTTGGGCAACTTGGGAAGCGAGGCAAACTTTGTGTGGACCCCGTTGAGAGGAAGGCAAAACCCAGAGCTGCTGGAGGAGCCGACCCGCCGCTGCAAGTGGATAAGTGCTGGTAATGCTCCCCCTGGGCAACAGGGGAGGGAGAAACAGGTTCTGTGCAGTGCCTTTTAAATAAGATGTCCATGCCAGGCAGATACCCATCTGAAGTAAAAATGTTACAGCGTTCTCCTTGTGTGTTTTTCCAATCTGGCAGAGCGTGCAGGCGGATTCTTAAGTCTTTTTGTCGTGTTTTAAATATTTGCAGCTTGCCATTGTATCCACTGATTTCTGTTTGCATATTGTAATTGCTCTTATCTTGTTTTGATTTCTTGGTGAAGTGGAATAGATATGGATAATTCATATGTCCTGTAGCTATTACGAGTCTGGGCTGTAAGTGGATGACTTTCTGGCTCCAGAGTCCTAATTGTTTCTGAGTAGCTGGAGTATCCTGTGGGTTGTTGTCTGGCTTGTAGCGTGGGTCTCAGCTGCTGGAGCTTCATTTTTCCATCATGTATTATTCCTAATGCTGCAAGGAGCTGATTGGGGAACCAGCTTACATGGAAATATTGAAGATTTATTTTAATCACTAGAGTTCCTGCAGTAATTTCAAGCTAGTAACAGAATGGATAATTTATGTCAATGACTTCTTCATAGTGCAGAGAGAAGAAAAAAAAAAAAGAAAAGATTTGATCTTAATATTAATGGTGTAGTGCTGGGTTAACTGTTGGTAGGATTTTAGCAACGTGCTCCTGCACGGCACTTCCTGGAGCAGCGGAGCAGTGCTGCCTGCTGTGCTGGCTCTGGGGATCACCTTTACCGGTCTCACAGATTGCAGGCAGCAGGTACCGGAGGCTGCCTTCATTTTTTGAATCATTAATGTTTGCTGTCAACTTAAAATGTATTAGATTCTCACTCCCATAATGACAGGACGGCGCGCTGCTTAATAAAGGCCTGCATCGCCGTTGCTGATCGGCGTCCCCAGTGTTCCACAGTTTAATGAAGGTGATGTACAGTAAGGTTGCAAGGATTGATAGAGAGAGCCCACATGACACGCCTTGTAGCGAGTCAGTCTTCCTTTGCTGGGTTCACCCCCTCGGCTCTTTGAGAAACTTGTTAAAATAAAACGGAGGTTATTTTTTCATGAATATAAAATTAATATGGCACAAATCCAGTCTTTTTTTTTTTTTTCTTTTTCTTTCTTCTTTTTTTATTTACCTTCAAAGCACCCCCCCCCCCCCCCCCCAAAAAAAAAAAAAAAAGTCCAAAAGGTTAATGGGGAATTATACTTAATTATAATGATTCATTATCATCAGTGCAGTTAAGCTAATTTATTGTTTGCGTCTGAACTAAGAGGGAAAAAAGTCGGTTGGAGTGAAATAACGCACAGTAGTTAGCCTTTTGTGTTTAGTGACTGCTTTATCCTCCTAAATGTTGCTCTGAAATTAAGTCTGTGGTTACAGAATACCTCTAGTATCCAGTAACAGTGGGAATACAGTAGGTTGCGTTCTGGCGATGCAGGTGCACCTGTTACAGATGTATAGCAAACAGTAAATATCAGCATGTCAGATAAGGACAGTTTTAGGACTTGGAGCGTTAAATCTGGCATCATCCGAAGGCCAAATATAAATTAATAACAGGAACACTTGCTGCTAATGTGTCTCAGATTAGAAACATAATGTCATATTCAGAAACATTGATTTTATTATCATGTCAACATTGGCGAGAGCATATATACTTCATTTCAGCAATTGCATTTTTTAAGTGACATTGCAGTCATTATAGGCAAATGAAAGCTGTGATGAGCAGAATTTTTTTAATACAGTTGTTTATGTTGCTTGAAAAACCCATGGTAAGAACTTAAAAATACACGTAACTGAGAAATAACATGTTTAAGTGCGTAGTTCGCAGAGTGAAGCTATTTTTACAAATGAAAGCATAAACAGATCAGCAGGATACTTTACAAGTCTGCGGCATCAGATACAAACTACTGCTCTCCACAACACAAACGTGAGTGATGCTGAGAATCTACCTGTTCTGTCAAAAACTAGATTATCTTGTAATGAAACTGGAGATTTTGGCCAAGTTTCAAAAAGGTCCTATCCACGTTATAAGCTTGCTGCTAGAAGATGATGTCTAGCACTAAAGAAGAGGGAACTACTCCTTTTCAATTTGTTTTCTTCTGTGTCCAAAATAACAATAATAATAAGATGTGCATTGACAGTGACCTAAGTGAGATTTTGACTTCTTGAAGTTCTGCAGCTCCTTAAATAGCAGAAATAGAAGCAAATGTTATTTCAGAGCCTTGTTTTGCAGCCTCCTTGTTCTTCACCCCTCGGCCTGCTATGTGGTCATCGCTCAGCGTCCTGGTACACATAGAAGTTGATCGCTGAATTACAGCCTGCACAGCTGCACTGGCTCTTGTGCCAGCACAGGAGCCCTGCTTGTGGCCACGCTGCTGCCAGCCGCCGAGCCTCCTGGAGGCCAAACCCTCAATGAGATGCTCCTTCAGAAGCTCCTGCTAGCGTGCTGTGAAAGGCGGTCCTTTGGAGAGGGGCATAACGAATATTGAGCAATTCCCAGCAATGGACACGATGTTATTGCGCTCAGACTGCTCTCTTCAGAAAGTGGTATTTTCTGAGTTGACTTCAATCCAAAGTTGGGACATTGTTCGAAGCACCCAGGCAGCTGATGATAGCAGAGGACAGCCTGCCGGCTGGGTGTACTCAAGATATCCCTTAGCACCCGGTGAGTGGGCCCCCAGAGCAAGGAATATGTGGAGCTGTTGGAGTGGGTCCGGAGGAGGCATGAAGATGATCAAAGGGCTGGAGCAGCTCTCCTATGAAGAGAAGTTGGGGGAGTTGGGCTTGTTCAACCTGAAGAAGAGAAAGCTCTGGAGAGACACCGTTAAAGAAAACTTACATACAGGAGGGAGACTGACTTTTTACATGTTCTGGTAGTGACAGGATAAGGGAGAACAGATTTAAACTAAAAGAGGGGAGATTTAGGTTAAGTATTGGGAAGAAATTTTTTGTTCAGAATGTTTTTATTCAGGCTGCCCAGAGATCTCTGGAGGTGTTCAAGGCCAGGTTGGCTGGACTCTGGGCAGGCAGGGTGGGTGGCAACTGTGCCCACAGCAGGGCATTGGAACTGGATGTTCGTTAAAGTCCCTTGCAAGCCAAACCATTCCATGGTTCTGTGATTTTGTGAAGTGCTTGTTGTGGAAGCATTTAGGCTCAGCTGAACTTATGGCTTTTAACCATTCAGTGCCTGTCAGCTGTAAAGGGTGGCAGGGTGTTTTGTGGGATCTCCATGTCAATGTGAAAGTCTGGAGGTGGGTTCTAAAGGTGCATGGTACAGTGCAGCAGGCATTGCTTTATCGAATGGCATTGACATATGCGGCTCCACTGTTTGCCAAGCTGTTCCTACATGTTTTCCATAATTAAGGATTGGGTTTGATGGATACTCTAACATTTCAATTGCTATGCTAAAGTGGCTGTGTGATATTAATTTTTTTCTTGCTTAGTAGGTCAGTCAATACTCTATCTAGCTTCATACTAGTATACAAAAGGATACTTATTCCAAGTTTATTTTTATTTATCACTGCACTGTTCACAAGTCATGAAGGCAAAAACATGTTGCTCTGCTGAAGAGATTTTTGTTCCCTACAGAAAGCAAAGTGTTCCACAGGTCTTCTCCATTGGCATTGCTGAGTCAGCAGCAGACTGCTGTGGAGCTGCTGGAGGAAAAAAAAAAGCAACAAAGAACCCTCTGGTCCTTCAACACAGCCACCATCAGGGTGGGACAGCTAGGGGCTGGATGGGAGGTTCTGGCCTGGGGCAATGACTTGACTGTCCCTGTCACCCAGAGGTGAGCACAGGGATGTTCAGAACACATCCCACCAGCCAGGCCCCTGCTTTGTAACTGGGTAGCTGAGATCTGCCCACCGTTTAGGCACAGAGGACATGACATAGCAGAATCCCTACTCCATGCTTTGTTCTGTCCATATGGCAACCACCACCATATCTCACCTCGAGGACTGTGGTAAGAATCTGGAAGAGCAAAAGTGCGAGCATCTCCAGCTTGAGCTAGCTCCAGGGCTGAAGGCTGTAACAGGCTGTGCCTCCATAACCTGAATGCATCAGGAAATGCAGGAAAGACCTTGCCCAGAGGTATTCATCTGTAACTTCTACCTTCACTGGTTTGCTTTGAAGCAGCAGCAGAATAAGGTCGCGCTTTGGCTTCTGCTGTTGGATTTTATAAACCTTTGGATGCTATTGTTGTCAAAGGCTACAGGGAAAAGGAAATTCACTGTTCCTGTACAGAGACATGATAGAGAAGGCAGCTTGTGCCTTCCTATTACAGATAATGCCCTCCTATTTCCCCCTCCTCTTTGCATAACTGTCCAGTGTTAAAAAAGATCTAATAGTTAGTGTGGCTTTTTAATTCCAGAAAACAATTCTGGTGACCCTGTGCTATAGCTTAATCGAGGCTTAATTCTTATCACATGATATTAAAGTTAATAGATTCCTGGCAATTAATGAAACTGTTTCTACATTGCTGTTTCCTGCAGTGTGCTGCTCTGGTTGGTGAAGACCAGCCTCTCTGCCCAGACCTCCCAGAACTTGACCTCTCCGAACTAGATGTGAACGACCTGGATGCAGACAGCTTCCTGGGGGGGCTCAAGTGGTACAGCGACCAGTCTGAGGTCATCTCCAGCCAGTACAGCAATGAGTCTGCCAACATCTTTGAGGTAAGGGAAGGCGATTTTAGTGAATCCATGTTTTTGGTTGTGTTTTTTTTTTTTTTCTTTAGCCTGGTGGGCAGTGGTTTTACTATCTTTCCTTCATTAAGAAACAGCAAACGTGGTGATGTGCGTTACAGGTTCCGCCTGGTGCCTTTAATCCTCATGATCAAAAGCAGGCCTGTGATCTGGAGAGGAAGGGAAAACAACCTTGAAAAGAATTAAATGGAAGTTTTGATTTTTGAAAGGAAATGGATGAAGAGTGCCTAAAGTACACAGCACTGTGGCGTAACAAGGAGGAGTTGCACAATTGTCAGTGGTGAGGAAAAACAAAAGTTGAAACCTGTTTGCTGTTTTCCTCTTGCACTCCCTGAAAGGAGCAGAGTGCAGGCAGCTGTTGGCTGATGGAAAGCTGGGGCCAGTGCCTGTTTCCTGTGGTGGGCACTGGCACAGGCTGCTCAGAGAAGTTGTGGATGCCCCATCCATAGAAGGCCAGGTTTGGTGGGCCCTGGGCAGCTTAGTCTGGTGAGTGGCAGCCCTGCCCATGGTAGTGAGGTTGGAGCCAGGTGATCTTTAAGGTCCTTTCCAAACCAAGCTATTCTATGATTCTGTGATTCCTGAAGGTCTTCACTGCATCAAAAATTCCCACTTGTAGCATTGCAGTGCAAGATATTTTGCATACAAATGAAAAGGTCCTCTTGGATTGAGTGGGGGAAAGGAAATGGGTAGATATGACAGACAAAGCTGAGAAGGCTGATAGTTGCTGATGGTGTGGGATGTTTCACAATTCTCCTGGTGGAAAGTAGTCTTAAAGCTGAAGGACAGATTTAAATGTCTTCTTTAAAATATTGCCTTGGGGTTCAGGGTGTGCAGGAGGAGGTTGCAGTCTCTTTATCTCTGTCTCCAGTCTTCTTTCTTTCACTGTGTCAAACCTTCATGATTCGCCACCCCATAACAATGGGACTGCTGGTCCTCCCAGACCCTTTAGCCACCTTCTCTCAATGATAAAAATGTAGTAGATCGTACACAGGCTGGGAAATTGGGCAATAAACTGATTAGCTGGCAGAAAGACCTTATGCAGCAGTAAGGGGCTGGGGCCGCCTTTCCCATGGCTGACCCAGGAAGTCCAGCCAGCCCCATTTGCTGGGGGAAGCCCCAGATGATCACTCTGCAGCTTAATAGCTGGAAAAGATTAACTGCCACAGTGTAGTAAAATGCTTCTGAATGTAAAATATAGCTTGCCTAGGATGTCCTGAATGAAATTCTTCTTTTTTGTATACAGTTATAAACCCATGGTGACCTCAATGGTGCTGATAAGGTTACTTTGGATTTATACTTATCAGTGTAGCTGATGATAGGAGCTGGCCGTCTGTATTCAATCTTCCTACAGTTCACACCAAAATGGTTTGTAAATAATTTTATTCAAACCAAAATGCTTTGACCCCCTCTGTTCGTTAGTTTTATAATGTTCCACATCACAGTTTATGAAACTTCAAAAAGATGCTGTGTTCTTGAATCTCAGTGGCACCCCCACATGAATTATAGCTTGACGCGTGTCAGTTTTTGGTGGTCAGTAGCAGGCTGGCAGCAGGACGGGTGACACACTTTCAGCTGAGAACAGAATCAGCACTGCATGGAGAGGATTTGCTTTTGTTGTAACTGAGGATATGTATTTTTCCTCATTTATCAAAAGCCAAATGCAGAGGCATTTTTCTTTTGGAAGAATCAGGGAAAGATAGACTGTCAAAATTTGAGTTCCTGATAAGTAATATAATAAAGCACCCATCGTCTTGAAGCATACAGAAGCATCCAGTAGAAACGCTGGAACTTGACCACAGGCTTCTACCTGGTCGTGTGCTGCACTGCACTGTCTGCAGTGGTGGCCAAAGCCACCACATACAAAATTGTCTTGTTTATATAGTGATCATTTGTCTGTATTACTTGGATAGTAATTATCTCTCCCTACCTGAGACAGTTCCAGTTCTGAAAATCAAAGCGTGTCACAGGCAGTGAGATGAGCATCCAGGCTGGTACCTAACCTTATTGGAATGTGATGGCAAGGAGGTACTGGTCTTTTCAGGAACCTCACTGGTCTGGGTGCATCTTGAAGATGAGCAGCCCGAATGTGAAGAAATAGGTGGCATGCAGCTGGAGGGAATGCATCTAGGCAGCAACTGGTAGGCCGGGAGCAATGATTTGGAAATGAAATATGTAACTTCTTTCCTAACTGGTGAATTCTGTTGTCCTCTCCATAAGTTCCTGGCTTTCCTTGCACCCACAAACTTCGGTTATAGGATACCTCACTGTCTCTGACAGCACAGTTTGGTCCCTGCTTACCTTACTGCAAGGACAAATTGTTCTCTAATAGCATTTTGCAATACTGCAGTGCTAGGGCAAGATTTCAGTTTCGTGGTGCTGTACTGCTATTTATTTGTTGCTTGGCCCAGGAAGATGGTAATGAAACAGTTATTTTCTCCTCCCATGCATTAACCCTGTCCCCATTCTCCATTGTGCAGCTGGATGCATAGCACTATTTCTTCTCTCTGCTGCTCTGTAATGTGACGACTGGGGGTGCTCAAGAACAGAACAAGATGTGTTCTTTCTCCAGAGGTTATCTCAGATACTCTGCAAGGAACTATTTGTTTTAAATCAGAGAACTAAAGTTTCCCATTTGGTAATCTCTGGATTTTTCCATATCGATCCACACTGGCTTTTCTTTCTGAAGAAAATATCATAAATAACTTTAGAATTTAAAAAAAAAATCAAAAAACTCTCATATCATTGTGGGAATAATAAGTTTTATTTAACTTAAGCTTCCAGATGAGGCCTAGTCATTTGAAAATAGAAATGCAATTTCTTTGGACTGCAAGGGAAAGAAGTAGAACGGTGAATAATGTCGGGAATCACAAGTACAGTGTTAATTGAACAAGCCATGCAGTGTTAATTGCAAAACCTTGAATGAAGCACACTCTCCTTTAAGTTATGAATGTAGTACACTTTTGTCTGGATGAGGGCCTATGTTCAAAAATCACACTCAAGATGGTACACTTCTTTTTTTTTTTTCTGCTAAATATTTTAAGAAATGCTATATTTTAGCATTTTGAATTTTCAGGCATTCTGCAACTCATGTTCCTAGAAGCTTGCTTGAACTGAGCGCCAACAAACTTAGATAACTCCACTAGCACTCAAGTCTCATGGATGAGAAATTATTAATAGTTATGGTAGCAGCTAGGAGCCAAATGAGATAAAGCTCCAATTAGTCTAGATAGCATGTAACTGTTGAGTATAAGTCCCTGCCCACATCTGCCTAGGTGTGGTGAGATATTGGCCTTCAGTCCAGCACTGAAGCACACTGACGTATCTTGCAGAAGTGGCTCGCTCATTGCTGCCTTATTCTGCTCACATGACTGTGCAGGATCCTGAACCCAACCTATCCTGTTTGCCCCAACACACTGGTTCTTACCTGTGTCTGTGTATGTGCATATTATCAATTAGTTGATTTCTTTCTGTTCACAGATTCGTAACTTCAGTTTGTCACCTATTTTTGTTTGACTCTTATTCTGAGTATGGAAATACAGAATGAAGGGGTTCATTCCCCTAAGGCCACTCTCTGCTGTCACAAGTTTGTGGAACTATATAATTAACAAGTCACCCAAGATCAGTTATGTGGACATTTCACTGCTTCGTTCACCTTCTTTATTTGTTTTTGCAAAGAACCAGCCCTTAAAAAATTGTGTTTGTGACAAATCGATTCAGCTTATGTTAGAAAATCAAAATGGTTAGGTTTCCTTTCTTCAAGTGGGTGCTATGTGAGCTGTAGAACTTGATGTAACGTGAATGGAAAGAGTTTGTCCCCTGAGGCTTCTTTGAATGTACCATATTCTATCAGAGAAGGTTAGTCATATTTAAAATTATTTATGACCCACGTCTAACATTTTGGAAAGATAAGGTATCTGCACAGTGGATATATCTCTTTGTTGGCATTACTTACAAATAGCTCAATTGAGGTAAAGAGAAAATGCAACCTATAACCTCTTCTGTAGATAGAAAATTGCCTATTAAAGTATAATGAACTTGTGTAAAATATCTGTAACTGTGCTATTCTCATATTTGAAAAAAGCACACTTTTAGCCTTTCAGAAGACTTCAGAAAACCACAGTTGCGGGCCTATCTATGGATTTGTTGTTTACATAATTCTGTGCTCCAGAGAAATGCTCAACATATTTGATGACTTTATTTTTAGTTGTTTTGCATAGGTGTAGCCCAGATTACTTTTCAGGGCCATGTTTTTTTGAAAGCGTGAATTGGCTACTATATTTTATTCTAGGCTGCCAAAAATACTGCTTTATAAGCAGTGAGAATATGAGGAGAGAAAGATTCATACTCTCTTAGTTCCGGGAGCAGGAAAATTCATAGGGATTAATGATTTCTTATTTGGAAGGGTTTGCATCAGGAGGATGAGGATTATGGAGGGGAGCCCTAAACGTCACCGGGGTAATTGCATGGTTCGTGTTGTAGAGTCTCTTACATTCTGTGATGCTGCCAGTCTCTTTTACTATTTCAGGTTATTCATTCAAGGTTTGCAGCCAGATTGATTAATGAATTACCAGATCTTGCGTAAAATGACTTGGCCTGACTTTTAAACAACGACCAATGTTTTCTTTGCCAGTCTTGTGACTGGTGTTAATGGGTTTCCAGAGAACTGAGCCTGTATAGATTTTCTGTACTGGCCTCTCCTAGCATTTTTTCCACTTTTTAATTTTCTCCAGAACTAGTAGCCCAGGGCAGGCAGTTCAAGGAGATATAATCTCTGGGGACAAAAAGACATAGTAGTCAAACCCTTGATGGCTGATGCCCTTCAATGCCAAATCTGCATGATTTATCATAGCCATCAATTCAGCACAACAAAGTCTGGAGGTGAGCTGCATGGTGTACCTCACACAATATGCATAACTAGAGCTCTGAACTTTGAAGGAAAGCCTCAGAGCTATTTGCAAAGTGCTGGTGCT